TGCTTTCTTCCCTGTTTTTTGTGTTGCTTTAGCAGGCTTGTTTAGTTTCCTATTACAGTATTCCTTTGCCTGTTTATAGGAAGACTTCTCGGTGTCCTTCTGACATCATTCCTTGATCCACCGAGATTAATACCAACTCTCAAATGTTTCCATTCTTTTTATGGTGAATCCTGCCAGGAGAGAGAGATTTCCCTTTCCTAGAAACCAGACCAAGGCATGTTGCAATGGTTTTGTTGTAGTGAAATCCTGGTTTTAATTGTTTTAATCTTCATCAGATTGACCTCCAAAAGATGCCGCTGGGGAAACTGAGCAAGCGACAGATTCAGAGCGCGTACTCCATCCTTAATGAGGTTCAGCAGGGGATTCAGAAGTTGTTCTGGACTTAAAGGGGTGATTGCTGGTGGGGGGGGGCGGCATTAGAGGTTGCATTTCTTTTGCTTAACTTAAAAGATAACAGAGAGTGCACACATTTAAAAAAAGCCTTTTTACTGAAAGTTAAATAATTACTGGTTTGGATAAAAAAAACCTGTGCTGTTAATTAGAATATTTGGAGAAGGAAGAGGACGTGGTCTCAATGTGTAAACTAGTTAGTTCTCTTCATTGTTGTAATAGTTTGGGCAGCATTTGTATCTTTTATACTTTCTAGCACAAGCTTGAGGCTGAGCCAAACTTGCTACTGGCATAAGTGGGAGTTGAGCAAAAGGAAGCCACCGTCTTGGTCTAGTAGGAAGTTGGTGGTGCCACCCCAGAGAAGTCTGTCTGAGGATGAGAGTACAGGTTAAGCTGAAACAGGGAAGGACCTGGCTTGATGACATTACTGTATGTTAAACATCATGACCTGACCTGTTCTAAGAAGCACTAGATATTGCCTAAACAACTTGCAAAAGTATTCCAGCATACGCTTGGGATCCGTGGCAAGGCATAGGTACAGGAAGTTCTTTTTTTTTAATTGTTAAAATAGACTGGAACCTGCCTGACGTATGCACCCGTTCATATCCAGAAGCACTTCTTCTGCCTTCCAGAAGATATAATCCTCATGAGATTGTCTTATACCAGAAACTGTATTTCTGTGCAAGTATTATAAATTAATATATGAAAAACAATTTCATGGTATTGCCCCTTCTAGTCTTATATGAATTTCAGCATTAAAACTATTTGCATTTCTTCCTATTATTATTAGTCCTCAAGTATCTTGTGTGCATCTATTGCTATGGAGACTTGTTCTGCAGTGCTCAGTGTTTTCCTTTGCTGCTTGTTGTTTTGTCTAGGCAGTTTCTGACAGTGGTTCTGAATCCCAGATCTTGGACCTCTCCAACCGCTTCTATACACTGATTCCTCATGACTTTGGGATGAAGAAACCACCTCTCCTAAATAATTTAGAATACATTCAGGTATTGACTGGAAACAGTATGTTGATTGCAGGCAGAAGGTCTGATGTCAGACACTTAACGCAAAGAATTCCTAATATTTGAAAGGGGTGGATAAACTTGTCTTTCTTCAGAATATTTTATATATAGAATATACTTTACATATATATAAGAATATCTATAAGATATGTGTAAAATATAACTCCTGATTTTACCAGAGGGTCAGTAAATAAGCAGGTTTCTCATGCCACTAAAATTGGCACAGAGGATGTTTAGTCACCTTTTGAAAAGAAGCCTCTCTTGCAATCTACAGAGGGGCTCTGGGCTAAACTCACCTTTAGCATGTATTGGGTGGAACCCCTTGGGTGCCCCTCTGCGGCAGAGTCTTGGTTTCAAAGCTGAATCTCTTGTTGTGCATTCATTTATTCATTTTTCTCTTTCTACTAGAAATGCTGAGATGCCACAACCCACGTTGAAGTCATTGGCAAACCTAAATAGGCTTCCTGTTTAGATTTAGGGGTGGCAGTGGAGGAAACTAAGTACTGCAAACTTGGAGATTCTGTCCTGAGTACTGAGGGCTCCCATGCTGTTATTGCACATCTTTGCCAAGTGGTCTAGTTAAATAAAACCAAATGAAGGAGTGGGAAACTGATAGTATGATATGGAGTTTGGAGGGAGGGAGGGAAGGAAGGAATGGTGTTGTAAAAGCTAGATGATGCCGGAAGGAAACCCTGTCCACCGCTAAGGCTAATGCTGATGTAGGATCTTTCCACCAGCCTGGCGGTACATGTGGTAGGAGTTCTCACACTGGCAACTGTTAGTTTAAGGATTTTCCTTTACGATAGGATGCACTAGAGAAACAAAACCAACTACCTTTTCTTTTCTTTTTTTCTTGACAAACCCTGCAGAAGATTGTGATTGGCGGGGCAAGTCTGTACACAGTGAATTTAGACTTCCAGGCTTGTGTTCTGTGTTACCACCTTTTTCAGACTCCTCTAATGGTAATGTGTGGATGCCATGACCAATGACCACTGCTTTGGTAATACCTGGAAACAGTATCTGCAAACTTACTTACCTGCATTACCTGCAGAGTGTCTTTTGGGAAAAGATTTCTAGTTGCCCTCCTCCTTTGCATTTGTTAGCACCTTCCGAATAAATACCAGCTGTCCTCTGTTGGAGCTCCTTGTATTAACCAAGCCCTCTTGTTTCTCTGGCAGGATAACTGGGAGACTTGCAGTGTTGTTAGGTGGCAGTTCTTTGCCAGTGATTTGCATATGCTTTTATAACTTGGGGTATTCTGGAATTCTTTTGAACATGTCAAAGGCACAAATGAAATAACTTCTTTAAATTATTCAGGCTAAAGTGCAGATGCTGGACAACCTGCTTGATATTGAGGTTGCCTACAGCCTTCTCAGAGGTGGAAATGAAGATGGAGATAAAGACCCAATTGACATCAACTACGAAAAGCTCCGAACTGATATTAAGGTAAAGGAAATAAAAGGAGAGGAGTAACCATGAGTACCAGCTGATGTCCTGTTAGTCTGGAGTATAACAGTTCAACTAAACCACAAGTGAACATGCTGGAGCAAGTCCAGCAAAAGACATGATTAAGGGATTGGAGCCTCTGACGAATGAGGAGAGGCTGAGAGAACTGGGACCGTTCACCTGGGAGAGGAGAAAGCTCCGAGGGAATCTTATCAAGGTGTATAAATACTTGAAGGGGAGGAGTAGAGAAGATGGAGCCAGACTCCTTAGTGGTGCCTCGTGACAGAACAAGAGGCAAGGGGCACAAATTGAAATACAGGAAATTCTATTTTAAACTTAAGAAGAAACTTTTTTTTTTTTTTTTTGCTGTGAGAGTGGTCAAATGCTGAAGGAGGTTGCCTGGAGAGACTGTGGAGTCTGCACCCTTGGAGAAACTGAAAACCCGACTGGACGTGGCCTTGGGCAACCTGCTCTAATCGACCCTGCTCTGAGCAGGGGGTTGGTCTAAACGAACTCCAGAGATGCCTTCCAGCCTCAACTCTTCTTTGATTGAGCGCTCTCTGTATACTCGCATAACTTCTCCAGCTTGATATAAATGTCTACCTAATGATATAATACAGAGGAGGCCTATACTGGGGAATTGCAAGCTTAGGGTGGATATCCTCAAATGTTATACCAGACCTGGTAGCTTTTGTTTTTAAGGAATTTTTCTTATTCTCCTCTCTGCAGGTTGTTGACAAAGATTCAGAAGAAGCCAAGATTATAAAACAATATGTGAAAAATACTCATGCTGCTACTCACAATGCATATGACCTCAAAGTTGTGGATGTAAGTTTTGGAAGAACGGGGAGGAGTGGGCTTTAATTACGTAAAAATTGGCTTATATAAGTTAGTTGGTGGTGGTGGTGGTTTTATTATTATTATTTTTGAGTAGCTTCTCAAGTTTCCCTTGTTGAAGGAATGGTTTGGTAGACTACTAAGAATAGCAAAAGCCTAGGCAAACAGATGAGTCTAAGCTCACCGAGGTGTCTTGCTTTTGAGGTGTCTTTTATTTTAACTGGCCTCAAAAAAAGGGTGAGGAAGGGGATTGTCTTCCAGAGCTGAAGCTTAGTTCCTAATATGATTTTTTTCAGAAAACTATCATCTCATGAGAATCTTGTAGGGAAGGTGGAGGAGCAATCAAGAACAAGTACGGTGTAATCAAAGCTAGCGTGATGTAGCAGATTGCAAATACTAAATACCTTTCAGATCAGTTTTCCTAGCAGACTAATTTCTGTTCATGATTGAGTGATTTTCATCTGCTTAGTTGCATGAAGGTAATGGTTTATTTGTCTGGTTGTTTTCTCTTTCTTCTCCTATCCCGTTGGGAATTGAAGATCTTCAGGATTGAGCGTGAAGGAGAGAGTCAGCGGTACAAGCCATTTAAGCAGCTTCATAATCGCCAACTGCTGTGGCACGGTTCCCGAACTACCAACTTTGCTGGTATCCTCTCGCAGGGTCTCCGGATAGCTCCCCCTGAAGCTCCTGTGGTACGTGAAGCAGATCCCTTCTCTGGCTTCCATCTGTGTCGCCAAAGATGGCCACAGTCAGAGTCCTAAATAAGAGAATTTTTGGGTGAGGAGGACCTGATGTTATCTGTGAATGTGCAAATATTGTTGAGTGTCGAGAGTGGTTGCTGACCAGTGTCTGCAAGAGCTTGTGTCACAGTTCTGCTCTCCTGGGAGGTCAGGCAGGTGGATTCAATGCTACCTTTGTGTTATTGTTCCAGTCCTTTTTTCTCCTCACCCCCCCCCTTCCCTCTCCTTTCTTTGCTGCTTGCAGACCGGCTACATGTTTGGAAAGGGCATCTATTTTGCAGACATGGTATCCAAGAGTGCCAATTACTGTCACACATCTCAAGCTGATCCCATAGGCCTAATACTACTGGGAGAAGTTGCCCTTGGAAATATGTAAGTAACTTGAGAAGAGCATTTGCCAAACATAGTAACTTATTACTGTAGAAGGTGATGCTGAAATAGCAAGCTTTTTCTTTGGAGCAAAAAAGAGCACTTCGATTTTCCTTAAAAACAAGGGAGGATTTGGTTTTTTGGGTTTTTATTAAATGAAAATTATTTGGGGAAGCTCAGTGTTGCTGGTGTAGGATGTTACATTAAATACCAATATCATTAAAATGAGTAACTGAGACAAAGAAGGAATACTACAACTCTAATAATGCTGTGTTCCAAAAGAGTAGAATTTACATTAACTTTATTATTAACTCACTATAAACTGAAGCCTGAAAAAATGTGCTTTTTCACCAAGATGGTGTAAGAGAAACGTAAAATGCTGTTATCTGTTCTTTGTGCTGTCCAGGTACGAGCTAAAGAATGCTTCTCACATAACGAAGTTGCCGAAGGGAAAACACAGTGTGAAAGGTAAGCATTAGTTGTTGTCATTGGTAATCCGGTTTTCACAGCAAACTTCTACCTTGTGGTGCTGTGCCGAGAGAACTGTAGTCATTTCATAACTGCTTGTTCTTTAAGAGTTTGCATAATGCTGCCTTATAGTTGCATTTGTATGTATGTATATAATGTGCTTTTTTTGGAGAGAAGTCAGTGCACCTGAAAGCGTAAGAATGAAGCTATCAAGTTGCCTGAAGTTCAGGAGGAGACTGGTATTTGATATTACGCAAGAGAATAAGAAAGGCCTGTTCTCCAACTTTTTGCTCACTTTCAAAGTGACAATATAGCGTATTTTAGAAGAAAGATGAGAGGTTTGATAGATCAGAAGAATAATTGTTTAGCTTTCAAAAGTGCCTTAGAAGCTCAGAGAGAAAGGAAGGGCTAAAAGTAAAAGTTCAGATGGAACAGCTGTTCTCATGTTTCTATCAGCAAAAAGTGTCAGTATATTGCACTGAAAAAGATGATGAGAGAGAATACTTCTCTCTAGTTCTTTAATTCAAGGGAAAAAATGGTAATCATAACCATCTTCAGTGCGGAGATGGGAGAACAGTAACATTCAGTAATGGGTGTCTTTTCTCAAAAGACTATTCATTTTGATAGCCTTGCAAAATCAGCTGCCTAAAATAGAATAAAATATGACCTAGCATCTTGTTCAATACATACGACACACACTATGACTGTCAAATCAGATTTGTGTTAAGGAGTTTAAAGAGGATAAGAATGAGTTTATTATACTTCCCTGAAAATTTTACAGTGTGCACTCCATTAATGTATCCATTAATGGAGCTAGGATGTGAGGACTGTAAGGATAGTCTGATCGTCTCTTTTGATTGTTTAACCTGTATGATCAAAGCAAACAAAGTCTAAATTCTCACTTTTAATGTAGCGAAGTTACTACTACCACAGACATGGTTATGTTGCATTGCATAAATATTCTATATCCTTTGCACTCTCTTTAAGATACTTTTGCTCTTGGTCAGCATTTGACAATACCAGCAAAGTAATACTTGGCTGGCCAAGTCACAGAATCACAGAATGGTTGAGGTTGGAAGGGACCTCTGGAGATCATCTAGTCCAACCGCCCTGCTCCAGCAGGATCCTCTAGAGCATATTTCCCAGGACCCCCCGCCACATCCAGGCGGGGTTTGAATATCTCCAGGGAAGGAGACTCCACAACCTCTCTGGGCAACCTGTGCCCGTGCTCTGTCACCCTCGCTGTCAAGAAGTTTTTCCTCAGGTTCAGATGGAACTTCCTGTGGTTTGGTTTCTGCCCGTTGCCTCTTGTCCTGTCATTTACTTCATGCACAAAGTCTGTATTTGCCTTCTAGACTTGTAACTAATGCTTTTTCCCTTTTTAGGCTTGGGCAAAACTGCACCTGATCCTACAGCCACTACCACCCTTGATGGTGTAGACGTTCCCTTAGGGAACGGGATTTCCACTGGAATTAATGATACCTGTCTTCTGTATAACGAGTATCCTTTGCTACCGTGCTGGCTGCGCTGTGTGTCTCGGCGTCACTAAGTTTAGCAGGACCTAATTCCAGGGTCAGTCAGAAATTTTGGCAGAGTGTGTTTTGGTTCTTTTAAGTCTACTGTGGAGTACTTGGACAATTCAGAGTCATCCTTCCAGGGAAGATGACTTGAAAACTGTCACCCTTTGTCATGCTGCAAAAGAGGAAATAATGCATGTAGCAAGTAGTTATTTGTGTTGTTTTCTAGCCCCTAACAAAACCAAATGCCCTCTACTCACAAAGAAAAGGGGTGGGGACAGGAAGTCGGACCAAATGATGACAGAAAACTACAAATGGGGAAAAAAAAAATAGAGAGGATGAGGATCAAAGAGTTGAGAAAGTAAAAGGGAACAGAGCAGCCTGGGCCATGGAGTAGAGCTAACCACCTCACCGCTCCCTGGGCCTCAGTGAGACTTACCCCGAAGATGGGAGTAGCTGGGGGATGCTGCCTGGTGGCGTCTTGCCCAGAAATGTGCAAGGCCAAGGGAGGAGGACCGCACCCTGCAGTTCCCTGTCTCTCCAGCCTGGTTTCTTTCTCTGGCTCTGTGGCTGCCTGGTTTGGCCAGGAGGAGATGGAAGAGAAGGCTCCGGGGCTGAACGGAGTCATGCAGCTTCTCCTGTGTTCCCCAAACCCTTTGCAAATATTAAGGTAAACCTCCGAATGGCCATTGGAGGTGTGTAGCCTTTAAGCTTCTTTCTAGGCAGACTGAAGTGCCCCCAAATGAATAGATTTACTCCATGTTCATAGAAGGTCATGCGAATAAATGATGCCTAGGACCCTAAATCAATCATTTCACTGCCAGTGAAGCAAATAATCCAGTAATACAATCTCTTAGTGGTTTAGAAACTGACTGTTTTCTTGATAAGTCTTGGCAACACAACTTAATGGCAGTAGTGGCTTTAGTCTTGGATTTTCTTTGTATAGTGTCGGTCTTGGGCCGATGATAAGAAGTAATTCGGTTAACTATATCTAGTTCAGATAATCTGATGTGCATCCACTTTGTTTTACATTGTGCTTAGTGGAGATGCTTTTCCTCTAACGTGTGAGTTGGAGGTAAGTTTGTGGCCCAAATGGTTGAGAAACAGGTAGGCAAGCTGGAGCTGTCTTCCGAAGAAATGTGAACAGTACGCTGCAGTCATAAAACACTGCAGCGCTGCCAGCCGTTGTAGAGCTCCTCTTTGTGATTCCAGTTTGGGTTTTTAGATGGGGAAATTAGGAGGAGCTTAATGACTTTGTGCTGGAAAATAGCAACAGAGCTATTGTTGAGGATTCCAGGTCTGGAGGCTGCTTTGCTCCACTGTTCAGATAGCAAGGAAGACATTGTGCGTTATGTCTCTGGCCGACAAAAGTACAGCCCATGTTGAAGTCAGTCCACTTGCCTGTCACTCAGGTTTCCTGCTGCACCATCATTAATTCTCCTATGTCTGTTCCTGGCTATTGTATTAAAACACTTTCACGTTCAAAGAAAGTCAAATTTACAGATTTCTGGGTTGAGCTGTTAGACCCACTTAATCACACAGGCATTTATACGTTAACTTAAGTTCAGAAGTGAAGTTAGACTGTGTTTAAAGGTGTTGGTTTGTTTTTGGTACAACTTGTGTTATTAATATCAACAACTGTATTTTGTTCCTTAGCATTCTTCCCAGATATATCGTGTATGATGTTGCTCAGGTAAATCTGAAGTACCTGCTGAAACTGAAATTCAACTATAAGACATCACTCTGGTGAACAATATTTAGAAGCCCTGTTAGAGTTATACTGTAGTTACACTATAGCGTTGACTTCTGACATGCTTAAGCATTGACTTCTCTTATCAAGATATCAAAAGAGCTAAACTGCAGAAGAGGTTACTAAATCCTGTTTAGTACAACACTTAGTAAAAGTTTTATATAAATGTGTGGCAACACATGGAACTGAATTCTGATGCGAATGAGTACCTGGTTTTGTTTTATACCACTTCTAGTTTTGGGGCTATCAAGTGTTTCTTTTAATTGACCAAACTGACCAAAAAACTCCGAGCTTGTGTTTTTAGCCAAACAGAGGTGGGCAGTAGTAGAAGGAACTTGAGGATGTTCACAGATGCTTGCTCTGTTATGGTTCCCTCTTGTTTAAAATACCCTTTTTCAGTTTTCATTTTGAATAAATGTTAAATGTGCATTTATTTTGAGGTAAAAATAAAAGCTAATTTCATACTAACAGCTTTATGTTTCAAAACTTGCAAATTGTTTTGGTTTTAAGTCATGATTTAAATGTATTTGGAGAAATGTTTTTAAACATGCCATCTCTTTCTGAAGACTAAACGCCAAACGTTACAATCAGTAGTCACATTTCAGCAAGTCATGGTGAAATGAGAACTTGGACTTTCCACTGAGACTTCATCTGTCAACAGCTGGTGTGGTAAACCTGGAAAATGAACTTGTGGCTGTTCGAATTTAGTGTTAGCCCCAATAAACCTCCTTTAAATAGCTACTTTCAATGTGATGTAAGTTGGTTGTTGTAGATCAAAGTCTTAACAGAGCCGTAAGTCGAGCTTTGGCAGAACAGGACAAGCTTTGCTTGCTTACTGACTTGACGTGAGGTGTGTTGCCACTCTGTAGGGTGGTCTTGAACACTCTCTTGAAATGGCAATGGAGACTAATTTAAAAGTGTCCTGACGTGTGTTATTTTTCCTCTTGAACTAACTCACTTGCGATAAGCCGTCGAGCAATATGGGAAGACTTGACTATAGAGTGACCTAACTTCTCTCTTTCCAAAATTATTTCCCTGAACCACACTCCCCTTCCTCTAGTTGCGGAGGACAAATTGACTAATCCCCAGGGACAGTTCTGTGCGGGCAGTGCATTCAGTCTCGGCTCTACTATGAAAGCTCTCATCCTAAGAAGGGGACTATTTGAGCTCATACTGACTACTGCAGCCTCAGTCTTTGCTAACCTGTGTGCAAAGAGCCGATCTGTTTTCTAAAATGTTGTGATGACCCAGTGCCTTTTGAAAGAGGAGTTCCAAACCAAAGCTGTTGCTTACGGTGCAGCTGTTTCCAGGACCCCTGAAGGAGAGGAAGATGAGGAGTGGCGGATGGAAAACAAAGTTGCTGTCTGGGAGAGAAGGAAACCTGGAAGGACCAGGTAGGTTGTATGACTTTAGGACAGTTGAACGTAAGAGAATCAAATGAGGCTGATGCTTGTGGATATGAGAGAAAGTGAAAAGAGTGGCCTTTTTTCTGGTGGCTCTTCAGTAGAGTTTAACCAGTGACTAATCATTACTTCACTTCCAACAGAAAGTTGTCTTGTTCAAGCATTTAAGAATTGAATGTAATTTTGTCAGTCTCTGGAAAAGAACAGGAGACCTGGTTCGGTTTAATTGTGAAATAGCATTTCTCTTTACCCCTCAAAAAACAGGTTGCAGTTCAATTTGGGACCAGGAATTAAAGGTAGATTCTTTTCCAGCAAATGCAGCAGTAAAAGATACACTGGGATAGGACTTTCTGAAGAGGCAGTCGGTGCCCTTTGGGGACTGTAGGAAAGCCCTGGTATGCCTGTCCCACTGTGAAGCCTGGTGCTTGTTCCCTGTGCCAGGCAGCTTAATGTAAATTCAGGGTGCTGCACCTCCTGCCAGCTTGTCTGACTGCCACTCCGGCTCCTAGTGAAAGCAGACACTGCTACTGTGAACGGGCGTACAAACAGCCTCTCCCCAGGGCTAGGCTGAGAAGAGCAGCACAGTAAAAACGACTGAAGGCACTGTCTTCGGAAAATATGCCCAGAGCAGAGCTGGTTGACAAGATATTCCCATTTCTGTCAAAGCTACTTCAAAAGAATGAGTTGTTCAGGGCATCCGGTCCCATGACTTACTCTGAGTTTCTGGAGGAGGGATGTTGAGGAATGACTTCTGATCTAAACTCACTTAGGAAAAAAAAAAAAATAACTTGAGAAACAGCAGTGTATGAATATTCAACCCGTTATCTTTATTTAGTGTGGCTGGGGGCTCTGTTGTATGATGGTTGGCAAATATTAAGATGAAGATAGTCAATATGCTTATAATCTGAATTAGGTAAACTGAAGGAAGCCAGCCTAGGTTTACTAATTGGAAATCAATGTAAATAGTCTGTGACTTGCCCAAGCTCATACTTGAAAAAAGTGGCTGAGAAGAAATATAGCACAGGTCACCCAACCCACTACTTTAACCACAAAACTGTCTTTAAATCAGTTTGTACAGCCTTTCGTGATTCCCCCTTTCCCACCCTCCCCGTTTCCCCCCCCCCCCAATCAGAGGAAAGGAAGAAGTTGGTTTAGATGTGAAAAAGACCTTTTGGTACATGAAACCTTCCTGGTACTGAAAAGAGTCACACTCCCATTCTTAAATGTGGCATCTGGAACTATTGAAGTCTTTGCTTCAGTTTTCCTGTTGAAGACTGTTCCAGACCTCCTTCCTTGAGTTTTTGGGAATTTTCTGATTAAGTGTTTTTGCAGCCAGTTTATATCCCACTTAGTTTTAAGAAAATATTAGACATTTGCTTCAATAGTTTTTACATATGTGGTGAGGCACCTCACTTAGTCTATTATGTTCTCATTCCTTCTGTTATGCCTGTAAAAAAATAAAATAAAATAAAGTTTCCATACTTGTGGAGTACGTGCATCTGAGCAAAAGCTTGTGTGGCCTTTTATTTTCAAATAAATACCAGGCTACTTCTCCAGAAATTTTCGATCTGTAGATAAATGGCACATACATAGTAAGAAATACATAGCATAGCTGTAATAATGTTAGCAAGGCAGTCTTTCAAAGTTGCAGAGAGAATCTAAGGGAAGCAAAGATTTGTGCGTCTTTGGTATGGAGCGAATGGTCATATTTAATCCTCTAGGCACCGAGGTCTTCACATCTCCTGACTTGCAAATAAGATAAGGGAAATGGGATATTGTCTTCACTACCTCTGTTTTTGTTTAAAAAAAAAAAAAATCCTTATACAAAAATAAGTTCCAGATACAAGGACCATGGCTTTTCTTTTTTTATCTCAAAACTTGTTTATATTCAGGCACTATCCTTTGAAGCTGTCTCAAGCTTTACTTTGTTAATACATCTCATTTCAATTTTTGACAGCTCTGTTTAATGAATTGCGCTAGACTCCGCAGTACATGCCTTCAGTTGTGCTTTCACTCAAAAGAGCAGCTTAGGCTTGGGGAATAGTATGAGCCATTTTATAATTCCTTTTGTTGAAGCAGAAGAGATGCATGAAAACAGGGGCAGCATAAGAAACGGTCTGCTGTGGTTGAATCTGGGAGCAGATAGTGCACGCTGGTCTCTTCCAACAATGCTGTGTGTTGCCAGCGTCCGCGGGCGGCTCTCCTTAGCGTTCACACTGAGAACTGGATGTTGGGCAAGGCACTCAGGAATGCTCTTGCCCACGGCTTGCTCCCGACTGTACAGGTGAAAGCCTCGCACGCTGGTGTCAGTCTAGGGTAGGTCCCGCTGAAGATGGCTTGCTGTTTTTCTTTCTTTCTGGTGTGGAGATGGCATGCAAGCTGTTAGACATTTTTGGCTTGCTTGCACAGAACATGTGAGGTATGAGTACAGTCTGAAGGTGAGAAGCTGCTCCAAGCAAAAGGAATTTAGCTTCCCAAATAGTGAAAGGAACCTGCTGCTTCCTCTCCTGCCCCTAGGGTTACAAGTTCTAACTGCATGATACAAGTGATGAATACAGCAGGACTCAGAGACTTCTTGAGGACATGCTCCGTTGCCCGGAGAGCACACTTGTGGTTTCTGGCAGTTCTCTGTGCTTTTCTTTCTACTGTCAGGTGCTTGCCTAGGGGCAGGTGAGAAAATTAACAACTAGTTGTCTCCTGTCCCTGGGCTGTAGCATTGTTGGCATTGTGTTAACAAGATTCTGAATGCATTGATTAGTAGGTGTTGTAACCCCTGTCTTAATGTCATCCATAGTAACTGAGGGGAAATGAGAGTGTCGAAGCATGTTTTGCAGCATTTTGGCACACGCCATTAGAATAGTTGCCTAACATGACCCTCTGGGGAAAGCTAATAGAATGAGTAAAGCCGATTTAAAGAGTCGTCTTCCATCTGTGTGAGGTAGGTGAGTCAGCAGCACCTAATGACAGGTTGTTAACAATGTGCCCAGATGTTCTGGGTCATCGTGTCAGTCTAATTGTGCCATTTCCACATCACGCAAGTGTAAACTGCAAGTTTGCTGGCATGGTAAAAGGATGCACTTAAAACATTGTGTATTTGTCAATGTATTGTCAAATGGCACTGGATGCAGCTTTGTCAAAAGTATTTGTGTGTGTATGTGTTTGAAAATAGCATGTACAAGACAAATTTAAAAACCCACAATACAGAGATACGGTAACATTCATGCAAGGCCGAAACATAAAAGATCTCTTATAGCAGGAATCCTAATTATACAGTGCTGATTGTTACCCTTTCAACACAATGAATTGGTAATAGTTTCTGCTGAATATTTTCCAAATGCAGTTGTTGGAGTGAAATGCAGGAATATCCAGTATAATATTGTTGGAAGCTTAATTCTGCCTTCTGACCTAGTAACTTTTAAGATGATGGTG